GATGGCTGCAACTTCTACTCCCCTTGGCTTTCTTCCAGCAAAGATCGGCTGAGTTGAAACACTGAGAGTACCTGAAGGACTGATACCCGATAACTTGCTCAAAGAACCTTCCTTCGTCATCACTATGGGGTTCTCAGGTAGGTAGAAGTCGGAGTCTTTGTCATGAGGCCTTGTTACAAGAACCATTACGTATCTTGCATTGGATTGATACGATTTGCTTGATGTGATCTCATATCTCACGCTCCAGGCTTCGGTGTCTCCCATTTGGATAGGCTCCAGCTTCAGCACGAAATTCAAGAATCGGGGTTGAATTTCCACTGACCAAGCTCCGGTGGCATTCCTGACCTCACACTTCATGTCGGTTTTGTAAGCATCGATGCTGATATCTTCAAAGTAACCATTGTGACGATGTGATCTTTGATAGCGATGGGAGCTGCTAACCTTTCCGGGTGGCAGAAAGTCCAGGTACAGTCGTGGTTGAAAGTCTGATTTCTTGAGAAAATCGTAACTTGCTTGAAGATGGCTACTTCGGCTATCGGCATCGTAGACATGCAGACCTACTTCGCTGGAGAGAGCTCTATATTTGAACGACTCACTCAATATCGAAGGAAAATATTCCGTTGCGAATTTGACGATTGGTGAAGCCTCTTGGAGATGCAAAATTTCAGATATTTCGACTAAAGGAAATCGAATTTTGGGGACTATTTCGAGATAAAGATCCTTGTTGTCTTCAACGCTTCCTTTTGCCTTTAACCAATCATCCACGCGAGTGATCACCTCCAATTCATTATCTACAACAAGATCCCTCATTTCCAGGATACTACAAAGCTCCTTCAGACTTAATCCTAACCATGATGCCTCTGGGATGTACTGGAAGTACAGAGATAGTGTACGCAGGCAATCGTTCTTCAAGGAAGTGTAGTCGTATTCATCTGTATCCCTCAACCACGTGATGGCGCCGACCATACTCCCTTGGTTTATCATGTCTCCTACCCAGTCCCGAGCCATCTCGCCCAACTTCTTGAGTCCCAGTCTCTTGGCCAGACTCATCACCATTCTCACGTTGCCCGATGAGAAACTCATCTCGCCCGTGTAGAGGAAATTCAAGACCGTTTCAAAAACCTCGATCTCCTTGTCGGTGGCATTCTGAGCGAGCTCTATGACGTTATCAGGAGAAGCAGTCATCAGATTTGCCAGTTCATCGCTGCAGGAACCCAATACGAGCCGATGAGCAGCGAATGTTCGTTGACCAACCTTGACATGAATGTCTGTAAGTTCTTCCCTGCCCAGGAAAGGAACTAACTTCTTCGACAGGGCGCTCGGACATGAATAGGACCGTTTACCATCTTTACTTGTATCCATTGCAGCAGCTGTCTCTCGACCCTCTTCCTACGAGAAAATATGAATAAATTAAAAAATGATTTAAAACTATCATTTAGTCTCATTTACCAAGGGTAGCTACGTCATCAGTATACTAATGATACTCTTCCTGCTGGCCCTTCAATTTTTGTAACACCATGCAGCAGATATAACCTATTTAAAAAAAAACCTGGACTGAGAGGGACAAATGTAGGCAAAACATGGTGTCCAAGGATGCTGTAAGCACCGTTCAAGGATGGACCTTTCGTATATGAGAGTAAGGACTCTTTTTAAATACCACAGTGCTTCTGGGTAACGTAATGATGTAAATTAAAACATTTAACCCAGTGTTAATTATTATAAGCGTGCATGACGTGCATGAGGTGAAAACTCAATCTATGATTGCCCGGACGCGTCATTTTTTTCTGCGGCGCAGATTGGGGCTTTAAAAAAAAAAGGTCTTGATTGAACCCTAACCCTAACCCTAACCCTAAACTTTCCCATAGGCTCAACACGCACCTCACCCCAATCTGTGCCGCCGAAAAAAAATAACGCTGCCCGGACATGCACATCTGGGCCCCATTTCACAAAACTTGTCGTCAGTGACAAATGACAGGTTTTGTTATAAGCCAGTGAAATCCTTACTTCTGATTGGTTATCAGCAGATTTGTCACCGATTTCTGTCATTTGTCATTGAAAAAGGCTTTATGAAACGGATACCATACAGCTGTTCTAATATCAACGCCGGAGCCGCATCTATAACATTTCAAACAAATCATAATATTTTGATACTTTTCTTTGTCTTATTGTGCACTGTCGCTCATAAAGTTGGAATATTTTTGTTTTACCCCAATCTATGGAATTATTTTTAAAATAATTTAAAAATAATAGATCTAGATAATAGTATACATTCTCAGATTTTATTGAATAATAATTTACCAATGTGTGTTTTGCGGGACTGCTAAAGCATGTGTGTGCTACTATGCTTATCAACTAGAGGACCTACGCCCTCAAGTCATAAATGAGAGTAATGAGGATTAATGCCCCACAAAAGGGCACTAATATAGCACATCGACACGGTTTTGATCCTGGGGCCTCACAAATACGAGGCCATTGCTTTGTCACTGAACCATGACTGTACGCAGCGGGGGCTAGGGTAGGGGGCAGTTTCCATAAATTTAAAAAAAAACAGAAAATGCAATAAATTTTCAATAATTTATTGCATTTTACCCCGGTCCCCACAATAAAAAAAATCCTCTTGACGGCCATGCATTATGGCTCAAGGCATGGGCACAGAGAAGATTTTTTTCTGTTGGGGACCGGGGGGATATCCGGAGATTCACTGAATAATTGATAATTTATTGCATGTTCTTTTTTCTCTTTTTTGTGTGTGGGAACTGCCCCCTACCCTAGTCCCAACTGCGTACAGTCAGGGTTGAGTGGCAAAGCAATGGCCTCGTAACTGTAAGGCCCCAGGATCACAACCGTGTCGATGTGCTATATTAGTGCCCTTTTGTGGGGCATTAATCCTAGCTCATTACTGTCATTTACGACTTAAGGGCGTAGGTCCCCTAGTTGATAAGCATATAGTAGCATACACATGCTTTAGCAGTCACGCAAAACAAACACTGGCAAATTATTATTCAATAAAATCTGAGAATGTATACAATAAATCATTGTAAAAATAATTCTATAAATTGGGGTAAAAAAAAAATATTCCAACTATATGAGCGACAGTGTAGAAATAAGTTAATTGTATCACAATGAAGGCAAAATCAAATTTGAGCCCAGAACATACCTGTTTTAGCCACACTGTACTGACGACCACTGTGAGACCGAACTGTAAATATAACTGTATATAATGCACTAGCACAGTGCATGCATGTACGCTGTAGACTTGTGGTATAATATGTTACATATGCACGATGGGACAATAATAATGTGTAATGCCACTTCTTTTAGAAAAACCCGAGCCCACGCACGCTCAGCTGAGGCGGAGCTAATTGGGTGCGGGTTTTTTCCACACCTTCATCAAACAGTGAAATATTGACGCCATATGCACTGCACGCAAATAATCATGCTAAGCAAACATTTGCCATTTGCCGTTTACGAAGCTGCAGTGAGCTTTATGTTAGCGTGCGCCATTTGTGCGGGATCTTGAACTCGTTCACAACTTGAGAGTCATTTTCAGTCAGTGAGGATCAGGTCAACTGCCAAGAGTATATATACAGTTAACAGTAACAACTGGTAAGTTCGTCCTATAACAATCTCTTCAAAATGTTTTCTGATATACACACATAATTTTATATGTACAAGAAAGTCTATATTTGAGTTCGAAAAAATGCACAAAAATACAAGAAAAAATGATGCTCCGTAGACGATGAAATTTGTAGGCCTACACTTCGCCTACGAGCATCATTGTGTATTTGTATATATATATATATATATATATTAATTTATATAGTACTTGATTGCATCGTTTCTACAAGTACGGCGATGGTTTGTGTACCTAATTGTCAAATATCATTGTGATTGTAATGGTGATGATCGTGATGACGATGAGCGTGGTGATGACGATGAGCGGGATGATGAGTGCTTCACTCAGCAAGAGAGTAAACTATTTTTCAGTTCTTAGAGATATGAACGCATTATTCTGTATGAGAGATGCTAAAGGCCGCGCCCACGCTCAGAATTGTACATCATTTTGACTGCATGTGCATGTAAGAATATGCTGATGAAGACAATTTGAAAGGAATACAGTATTATGATTATAATGCTGTAGGAGAGCGACAAGTACTGAGAAAGCGCGGGAACTCAATCCATGCATGCGTCCAGACTGAAGGTGATGAAACGACACCAAAGAGTGAAAAAATGTTGAAGTTGCACCTCGAATTTAAATACAAAAAGTGTTCGATTTTTTGCATGCGATGACGTTAAAGGTATAGACCAGTTCTGGTCATGCGATTGCATTGCATGTGAAAGAAACGTTGTGGAATCGATCAGAAAAGGTTGATTATCTAGCCTATAGGTATTTATGTTTACTGCAAGGTTCTGGAATCATCAAAATGATAAGAAATTTGGCCCAGAAAGATGTATATGGGACTACGCGATATCTATCCAGGCCGGATAGTTTTACCAAATATAGCAATGAGTAGGCGGTTTTCCGGCAAAATTTGTATCATCACGTATTAGTCAAAGCAAATTTTTTCACATGATTGGTAATAAGAGCTTCCATTTCATTGTTTGAGAGGGGGCGTTTCCAAAACTCGTCTGTACCTTTAAAGATGTACTGAAATGCTATTGTGAAAGTTAAAGTGCTAAAATATATGTTTATTATCTCTATATACTCGTTTTATGATGTATGTATCATGTCTCATTTACATTTAATTTTTCTGTGAATAATGCATGTAAAGGCAACGAATTTCCTTTCGGACTATTACATTTAACATAAATTTGAATTGAATTCATCGTCACCAATGACGGATTGTATCAATTATTATAGAAGAAAATAAAGGATCACCTCCGGGGATCACCTATAAAATAAGAGGTAGTATCCATCATCAATAGGAGATTGAAGGCGTTTATGTGGGATTTTCTTGATCCGTACTTACACAGACTGAAAGTACACTGCATGTTCCAGGATGTCTGATGACAGCGATGGCGTGTATGATGACTGTGATGACTACGATGACGATGATACTAAGGATAAGACGATAGTATACATTGGAATGTCACATCGTCATACTTTTGTTGAGAAGCATAGGGCCGAAGAGAGGAAAGAAACTGGAAATATTAAGGTAACTACATAACATTAAACGATCCTGTATTTAGAGCCCCGATGTGACCATGTTCATTTCCGAATATATACTCCCCTCCCCCCCCCCGAAAAAAAAGAAATAAAAATACTTGACATGATTCAGTTTTTAACTTCTTCGAATCTTAACTTGTAATAAACTGAAAATTCATTTCAAGTTTCAGGTTTTATAGCCCAATTCTGAGCTTTTTAAACTTTATGATCATGACCAATGATCTTAATAATATAACTATTTATTTTGCTCATTACTTCACTTTAGACTTCTACAAAGAAGAGAAATTAAAATTGTCTAGGATACTCATGATGTGCAGAGAGTAGTGTGACACGTTGTCATATAATAACATACAGTAAAATTACATCTAACAAAAATCGATTTCCGGTTACCAAATAAGCCAGTGTATACCGGTTATGCAGTATTAAAAATGAAAGTCCCTCTGGTTGAGCCTGCGAACGGTTTATGAGTCCACTGCAATTGCAACGTAAAAAGACTACCATATGTCGATACAAATTTATGCGAGAAAAAGATGGTCAGAAATGTAATTTTAAAAGGAACTGATGACTACACCCATCAATGTCGACATATTTTTATGATTAAAAGTACTCTTTTCATATTTCCCCAGAACGCTCAGCAAAACCTGCTAAGCAATGTGCGCGTTAGCGTAGATGCAGTCAGCAGAGCAACAGGGACCTTGTATGATGAGCAACGCTACAGTGACGTCACCCTGGTTGTTGGAGATCGAAGGTTCCACGCCCATCGCCTGGTGCTCAGTGCATGGAGCGATGTCTTCAAGACGATGCTTTGTAACTCATCTTGGCACTCGCATGACACGACCGGACAGCCAACCTCAAAGTGCCAGGATCTCGTCGAGGAAGAATGTTGTGAAGAGTTTTTCGGCGACTTCCTCAAGTTTCTTTATACTGCCTCTGTAGACCTGACCAAAGGCAACGTCCTACCTTTGGCCCTGCTAGCTGACAAGTACTTGGTGAAAGAACTAAGGGAGCTCTGTGACGAATTCATCCGCGACAATCAGAACGATGCTCAGGAAGTCGTCACCTTCATTCGCTCGGCCTTGAAATTTGGCATGCATGAAACAGTCGAGATGTGCCTCCAAAGTCTGCTGTGCAACTTCAGTGTCCTGACGCCAGACCAGCTTCTCAGCCTAGAAAGTGAGCACCTTATATCTCTTCTCGACAGTGGACCAAGGTTGATGGTAGATGATGAGTTCACTCTCTTCAAGAAGATCGAGCCCTGGTTGGACCAGTGTCAAAGTGGGGACACGCTTCTTAGTATCATCAAGCTCATTCGTTTCCCCTACATGAATGCATTACAACTGAAGAAAGCCAGAGAGACGCCTGCCTTCCGCAGAGCCCAGGAAATGATGCCAGATATACTCCTGATATCTTGGCAACAACAGGCATTGTACAAAGAGGGGAGTCTGGATGATCTTCCAGAAGACTTTCCATGGCCCAGACTGTACCTGAATTCAAACGATGAAGCCAGATTCACAGACCAGAAAGTTTGCTCATCCCCCGACCAACCAAAGAATAAACCGATCAAAGTCCGCATTGATGGCAAAAGAAATCATCAGGAATGCGTTTCTTGGAAGGGCAAGCGAATAGGAGAGAAATATTTCTTCAAACAAGGATATAATTTCAAATTCTTAATCAAGCTTAACCGGAGCCCAGACTCACCAAGTGAAGTAAACGTCCATATGATATATACAAGTGAGGATTCACATAAAAGACTTCATTTGGGAGTACGAGCACAAGTTGATGGTGGAAAAGAGCCTTTCTATTTCTCAGAGTGTCTCCCTCCGGCGCCTCCCCCATATGAGATTACTTCAGGAAATACTCAATTCACATTTCCTACTGGGATCTCAAACCCTGAAATAATGACATTCCATGTTGCAGTCATTGTGGAGGACGAAGATGAGAAAACGACATAGACCGTACTGGTGGATTATTATTTTGAAACCGAGGGGAATTTCACTTTTAAAAATGGGAACAAATTGTGATGAAAGGTTTTCTAGTTGTACTACTTCTACTACAAGAGGGAAATGTGGACAGAATGAAGAATCATAGTAGTTTTTTTTTTTATCTACATCTACCTGCGAGGATACCAGAAAAAGGCTTCATGGTATATAATCAGACCAATCAGAGCTGTAAACGTTATCTACAAGACTAAATTACGAATACCCCCGGGGCCCGGGGGGTACTCACATATTAGGACATACGGTGGTGTGCCGCTCTAATGGGTCACTTTAACATACGCGCAGAATGACATAGTTTCAAATTAGAGCTCATAGAAATAAATCCGCATTCTTTACGTGTTACTTCAATAATGAGATTGTATGACATTTGTATAGATACGATTTGTTATTATCATTATTTTCAATTTCAATCAATAACTTATATGAAGTAAACAAGGTGACAGACTTTGTATTTGGAATGTGAATGACTTTCTTTGTGAATTTTTTCTTAAATTTGTTAATAATAATATTTATGACTCCGCTTTTATATAGCGCTTTACGGATATATTATTACCCCGGTCATTGGATTCAATACTTGTCCGCACACATTGTGTGCACAATCTCCACTCCCGGGGGAGCATTCCAGCGAAGCGTTACTTGACGCTCAAAACTGTTTGACCAACAATGACGGTCGCATCCTACCGGTTACCCATTTAACACCTGGTTGGAGAGTAGCAAATGCAGGTTAATATCTTGCCAAAGGATATTAGTGCCGTGCGGGATTCGAACCCTCGACCTTCGCATCTCCAGTCAAGCGCCTTAAACCACTCGACCATATGGCTTCGAATAGTCTCATTATGGACTTTTACCCCCAAAAAAAATATTTAAAAAAATATTTTTAAAAATCGTTAAAAATGCATTTTTTATTTAAACGAAAAGCACATCCACCCCGACGTACGTTGACACTAGCTCTTTCATTGGAATCCTCATGTCCCATTGACTTTCGAAAGTTTACCCACCGTAATTTGATCAAAATAGGTCGCCAGCTCGCCATTGCCTATATAACACATGTGCAACAAGTCGATCTTTGGACGCAATTTGCCACGCGATTGTAAGGTTATAGGTCAAGCACACGAAGGATAACAAGCATGAATTATCATAGATCAGTTCTGATCGGTTCATTATGTCCATTTCAGCCAACCCCCACCGTAATTTTTCCATTTCGTATAGGCAAACATTTTGCCGAGTTAACCCTAATAAGGCCGGGCTATTTGAAGTCTTATTATGGCCGGGGGGGCATTATGGCCCCCCCCCCTAAGATCTCGGCCGTGAAACGGCCGATCTCCGCGAAAATTTGCACGCATGTCAAGTGAAGTGTATAGAACAATATGATAATTTCAATTTTTTGAAAAAAATCACTCATTTGCATATTTATTGTAATTTATGCAAATAACGTCATAAAATCATATTTTTACCCATAAATCATATATTATTCATATTTAAGCATTCTTTTTCACTACATGTATTCATTAGACCATTTGGAACAATAATACGACAAAAAAAATTGGAAGAGCCAGCTTATTCCTTATGTTATTTCTTGTTTTGATAACTTCTTATGTATTTCATTGTTTTTTTAACTTATTTATGTTATTGTTTTTTTTTTCTTTTCATTTATTCATACATTTCAACTATTTTGACTCCCAAAACAACCACCTAAACTTTAAACAAGACCCATTAACCAATGTTTGATCTATTTTTAGGAAAAATGACATTTCCATATGTTTTGTACACAAATCACAAAAATGAGCGATTTTCGGGCTAACATGCAAAGACAAAAGGTCACGTGACCTTGTAACTTTAGGTCCGATTTTTTTTTTTTTTTCGGTAAAGATGCGCAAGAATCTAAAGAAAAAAGTCAGCGAGCGGCGAGGCGCCATCCATATGCGTTCTGGAACAATCAGAAAAATCGTGGAGGGGGGGGGCATAATGGCCCCCCCCCCGGCCTTATTAGGGTTAAGCCAAACATGAATATTCATGACACGCCATGAACTATTCGATTATTTACAGAGGGTTGCAATTGTGCACCAAATCAAACTTCCCTACTTTCAGTCAAGTATTTAATTGTATTATGTAGTTTGGTCGGTTTATTTTACTAACTGTTTAATTATCAGATATCAATGATAGTTTAAAGATATGGAAAATGTTCTTGTATTTTATATTTAGCAAAGCAATCTCACTTGTTGACACACACATACAATTACCACACACACGAACACTTTCACTTCCCCTCCCCAACACACCATTTCCGCACACTCGGTTCACATGGTTCACATATCATACCCAATGGCCCTGCAACATAGTGGAACATTCTAGTTTGGTACGACGTCGAACTAGCTACGTTTGTGCTGGCAATGGTCCAGCGAGCGAAAATGAGACAACCGGAGCAATATGCAGGACACCCTCTAATTATTTTTTAGAGTATCATAATATTTCCATTTAAGTAATCTTGATTTGTGTACAGCGCTTTGAAACTTTCATGTCACAAGCGCTATATAAATTTGTCGTATTCATTTTGCAAAATTGTTGAATGGGCACCTAGTATGTTATTACCAGTATATAATCACAAACCAAATTGTTTCTTCTAGCTGTCTAGCAATGGTTGATACTATTTGCGGATTTATGGACCACATCCGACCCGTGCCCCGTTTTAAATCCAAGTGCTATAACTAAAATACACAACTAAAATAATACCCCCCCCCCCCCTTTCTAAGGTGTCGGCCTTTATTTTATTTTTTTAATTCATTTATTTATCTTTTTGCTTGCTTGCTTGTCAGAAAAAATTGGAATATGGGGCCCCTCATTTTATTTAAAACTCTGGATTCGCCCCTGATTGACACAATGACCTATCTAGTTCTTCAGAGCTCATGGAACATTGCTTTACTAGATATTGTAACTATTGATCAAGTTGTAAAAATGTACATAATTAGACGTTCGTAGTTTTACCTTGTAAATCAAAGTGAAAAAAGAATATTATGTCATATTTCACTGATATGACTTATAGAGATGATCTTTGTTAAAATATATCTTATGGATTCTGTAGCGGTTCACAGAAGTCTAAAACATTCACTTTGATTTTTAACAATTCAGTCGTTTTCATTATAAAAAAAACCTTCATGTTATATTAAGACCGTTAATTGTTATTATTGACTATTATTTAATAATATTGTCATTATCGCTTCCGTCATTTGTTATCTAATTTTGTTGAGATCAAAGTATGACTGTACTGTAAAAAAAGAATAAGGTTCAAATGTTATCCCTCAAACTGTACAGTAAGCAGCCTAAAATAGAATGCTAATTTGCATTTCAGTAGGTGAATATTTACACAGCAAAGGTAGAATTTGAAAGAGGCACAAATGCACATCCTTAATACCTTAGTAACACCACCATTTGTTTGATTGATCTGTTGTGGGTGTCATCGGTGTGCCTGCGGTCAGAACCATCTATACACAGCGTTTTGCAAACTTGGTTTCACTTGGTCACAACATGGTGTATATTCTTTTGTTTTGTGCTTGCCTGACAAAGCAGTAGTCGCCATAATGTGTCCAACTCTTGCTTATGATAGTTGGCCTCTGCATTTATCTTGATTATTTTTACTTACCTCCATACTTTCAAGCTTCAATATATATATATATGCATTTTTATGTGTTTGTATTTAAGTTGTCACTCTTTATGTAAATCAATTATATTATATACTATTATTGTTATTTGAATATTTTATATTTGATTTATCAATAAATGCAGAAACATCTGCTAAAAAAAATTCCCCCAAAAAATATTTAAAAATCGGACCAGGTTGGCCAAACTCTGTGTATAGATGGCTCTGACTGGGGTCGAAGTGTACTGTCCTCCTTACGTTCATTGCTGAACGAAACATTATTTTTAAAGCCATCGATACTTATGACATAAAGAGTTTGGTTAAAGGGGAAATATTGCGAATAAATTGACAAGAGAGAGATGTCACCCTAATGAATATGGACGAGATCTTTGCTGTAAATGTCAAAAACTGTTGGAAAAATATTATAATGTGAACACTTCTGGCCAGGAAATATTTTGAAGATTGAATACGAGAAGTTAGGCATTTTTGCCAATAAAGAAAAAATATATTAAAAAAGGGGGAGGCAATGCATGGATAAATTATGGTTTGACAAAGAAGCCAATAGAAAACTACACAGCCTATATATACATATTTCGAAATTTTGTACTTATTTTCCGTACATTATACTTGATTTGAAATCTCGAATTTTTTTAACTTTTTTTTTTCTTGTGTGAAATCTATTCTTATAATAATATACGCCTGTATAAAAAAGAAAAGAATATAAACTGTTTTTCTATGTAAAATGTGGAATAAATAAAACTTCAAACTTCAAACTTCAATGTACTTAAACCGCAAATTAATGTTCGAAATTCCAATCAAATGTAGAGGTGTCGTGGTCTAGTGAATATGTCACCGGACTGTGGATCTCATGGTTTGCGGTTCGAGTCCCACCGCGGCACTAACGTCCTATCTCAAGACATTAATCTACATTTGCCACTCTCCATCCAGGTTTCATATTGGTACCCTGAAGAATGCAAATGTTAATGTGGTTCGATAAGTATGTGCGCGCTTGTAAAATGGATGCTCATCTGACGGTAATTTGATGCCTAAAACCCCTGAGCTTCCGGGGGCTTCGCCCCCTGGACCCCAAGCCAATTAAAGTGTCCTGCCAGTGTCACAAATAGGTTTTTGAAAATATGCTCATCTGACCGTGATTAAACGCCTAAAACCCCTGAGCTTCCGGGAGGCTCTGCCCCCTGGATCCAACCAATGGCCCTAAGGCGGACCCCTAGGATGTTCATCTGACCGTAATTTATTGCCTAAAACCCCTGAGCTTCCGGGGGCACTGTCCCCTGGATCCAACCAATGGCCCTAAGGCGGA